TTTTTTCTTCTGATAAGAACTTTTATCTACTTTTATTCTACTCTCAACAAATTTTAAATATACAATACAGTAGTAGTAACTGTAGTCCCTGTGCTATACATTACATCCCCAGGACTTATTTATCCTATAACTGGAAGTTTGTACCTTTTGACCACCTTCACCCTTTCCCCCCCACCCTCATCCCTGCCATTTTTTGCCAACCACCACTGTTCTCCGTATCTATGAATTCAGTTTTTTTAGATATAAGTGACATCATACAGTATTTATCTTTCTCTTTCTGACTTATTTCACTTCGCACAATGTCCTCAAGGTCCATCCCTGTTGTCACAAATTGTAGGATTGCCTTCATTTTTATGGCTGAATAATAGTCTGTTGTGTGTATATACCACATTATCTTTATCCATTCATTCGCTGATGGACACTTAAGTTGTTTCCATGTCTTAGCTATTATAAATAATACTTCAGTGAATATGGGAGTGCACATATCTTTTCAAGATAGTGATTTCATTTCCTTCAGATAAATACCCAGAAGTGGAAATGCTGGATCATATGGTAGTTCTATTTTTAATTTTTTTGAGGAATCTCCATATTGTTTTCCACAGTAGCTTCAACAGTTCACACTCCTACCAACAGTGCACAAGGATTCCCTTTTCTCCACATCCTAGCCAGCACCTATTATCTCTTGTCTTTTTGATAATAACCATTCTGACAGGTGTGAGTTGATATCTCATTGTGGTTGATTTGCATTTCTCTGATGATTAGTGGTTTGAACACCTTTTCATGTACCTATTGGCCATTTGGATATCTTCTTTGGAAAAAGAAAGTTTTTACCAAAGACATTTTTTAGTTTCTCAACCCATTTTTTAATCAGATTGTTTTTTCACTGAGTTGTGTGAGTTCTTTATGTATTTTGGATATTAACACCTTATCAGATATATGATCTGCAAATATTTTCCACCATTCTGTAGGTCCTTTTAATTTTCTTGATTGTTTGCAGTGCAGAAGCTGTTTAGTTTGACGTAATCCTACTTGTTTATTTTTGCTTTTGTTGCCTTTGCTTTTGGTGTCAGATCAAAAATATTGTTAAGAACAATGTCAAGGAGCTTACCCACTATGTTTTCTTCTAGGAGTTTTATGGTTTCAGGTCTTACGTTTTGAGTTGATTTATGTATATGATGTCAGACAGTAGTTCAATTTCATTATTTTGCATGTGGCCGTTCAGTTTTCCCACCACCATATATTGAAGAGACTGTCCTCTCCCCATTGTATATTCTTGGCTCCTCTGTCATAAATTAATTGACCATACACGTATGGGTTTATTTATGGGCTCTCTATTCTGTTCTCTTGATCTATGTGTCTGCTCTTTTGCCAGTACCATACTGTTTTGATTACTATAGCTTTGTAATACACTTTCAAATCAGGATGTGTGATACTCTTTTTCAAAATTGCTTTGGCTATTTGGAATCTTCTGTGTTTCCATACAAATTTTAGAATTTTTTATTCTATTTCTATGAAAAAAATGCCATTGGAATATTGATAGCAATTGCATTGAATCTGTAGATTGCTTTGGGTAGTATGAACATTTTAACAATATTCTTCCAATCCATGAGCACAGAATATCTTTCCATTTTTATTTGTGTCTTCAACTCCTTTCATCAGTGTCTTACGGTTTTTAGTGTACAGGTCTTTTCACCCCCTTGGTTAAACTTATTCCTTGGTATTTTATTCTTTTTAATGCAATTGTAAATGGGATTTTTTTCCCTTAATTTCTTTTTATGATAATTCATTGTTAGTTGATAAAAACACAACTGATTTTTTTATATTGATTTTGTATCCACCAACTTTACTGATTATGTTTATTAGCTCTAACAGTTTTTTGGTGGACTCCTGATGGTTTTCTGTATATAATATTATGTCATCTGCAAATAGAGACAGTTTTACTTCTTCCTTTCCAATTTGGATGTCTTTTTTTTTTCTTGCCTAATTGCTCTAGCTAGGACTTCCAGGACCATGTTGAATAAAAGCAGTGAGAGTCAGCATCCTTGTCTTGTTCCCAGTCTTAGAGGAAAAGCTTTCAGCTTTTCACTGTTGAGTATGATGTTAGCTGTGGGCTTTTCATATATGGATTTTATTACGTTGATGTATGTTCCCTCTGTACCCAGTTTGTTGAGGGTTTTTATCATGAATGAATGTTGAATTTTGCAAAACGCTTTTTCTGTATCTATTGAAATATTATTTTTATATTTCATTTTGTTAACGTTTTTTATTACATTGATTGGTTTTCATATGTTGAACCATCCCCTGGAATAACTCCTACTTGATTATGATGTATGATCCTCCTAATATATTCTTGAATTCAGTTTATTAATATTTTTTTGAGGACTTTTGCATCTGTATTCATCAGGAATATTGGCCTGTAATTTTCTTTTTTTGTAGTGTCCTTGTCTGGCTTTGGGTAATGCTGGCCTCGTAAAACGAGTTTGCCAGTGTTCTCTCCTCACCTGTGTTTTATAAGAGTTTGAGAAGGACTGGTATTAATTCTTCTTTAAGTGTTTGATAGAATTCACCAGTGAAGCCATCTGCTCCTGGACTTTTGTTTGTTGGGAAGTTGATTACTGATTCAATATCCTTACTAGTAATTGGTTTGTTCAGATTTTCTATTTATTCATGATTCGGTCTTGGTAGATTGTATGTTTCTTGGAATTTATCCATTTCTTCCAGGTTGCCCAATTTGTTGGTATATAATTTTTCATACTAACCTCTTATGATCCTTTCTATATGTGGTATCAATTGTAATTTCTCTTCTTTCATTTCTAATTTGAGTCTTCTCTCTTTTTTTTTCTTGGTGAGTGGCATCTACTCTTTTCCATATAGATATGAACAGTGAAATGGATCCCATCCCCAGCTTCAATTTGATGGCTTCTGATTAATCTAAACCATTTATGGTAATCACATTCCCCCTACCACAGATGGGTTTAGAAATAGACATGTGACCCAGTTCTGTCCAGTGAGATCTGTGGGGTAATATGCTGAGAGACTTCTTGGAAAGATCATCTCTCTTTTTGAAAAAATTAAGGTAAAGGAAAAGATGGCATGCTGATTCTTAGAACCACTACATTGGGAATTTTTTGATTGACTTCATGGTACAGTAAGTACTTAGATATTACAATTTAACTTATAATTCAATGGCTGATTAAATATACATTTTAAAGGGAGAGAAGATGTTGTTTTAGTGATTTAAAAACTATCAGTAGAGAATATATTTAGAAACAACAGAAAATTCAAATATCAGGTTTTGTTGTGTTTTTTGTTTTTTGGCCATGCTGCGAGGCACGTGGGATCTTAGTTCCCAGACCAGGGATCGAATCCATGCCCCCTGCAGTGGAAGCGCAGAGTCTTAACCACTGGACTGCCAGGGAAGTCCCTGTTTTTGTTAACAAAGAGGGAATTATTTGTCTCAGGCATCAAGAAGTTTGGAGATAGCTACTTAGTGATTTTTCAGATGCTTCTTCATTATTCTTAGTTTTCATTCTCATGCTTGTTACTTCATGGTTACAAGATGAGTGCAGCACCTCCAAGCAGGAGGAGGGGGAAAGGCCAGTGGACAAAAGGGGCATGCCAGTTGAGTCTGCCTGCTTTTGTCAGAAAAACAAAAGTTTTCCTGGAAGCCCTGTTCTGAAATCTGGTTTATTGTGTTTTATTAGCTACTATTTGCAATCCATCTATTTAATCTATCTTCTCAAATTTAGCTTCAACTATATTAAGTCATTAACTTTTCTACTTTGTGCTTATGTTTTCTAAAGTGGGTATGTTAGACTCAGTAGGTGAGACATTTAATTTCTTTTTACAAAATTAGGGCTTCTGAGCAAATATGTAAATCTATGCTAAGTTCAATATTTTTCATTTGAACCAGACATTGTAGTAATTTTTCAATGAGTTTTATAGTTCTTATGTAAAGTTTTTCTAAGGAAGAACAGAAGACCTATTGAACATTTGAACTGAACTCCATTATAAGAATTACAATACAAACTACCTTTTTTCAGAGTCCCTTTTGAGAAAGGAGAGTCACAGTCCATTAAAGGAAGAAATGAGCAGTGTTTAAATTTAATATCTGTTATTGTGTCCAGGATTTATCTACACAGACTTAGCTATTCCTAAGTTGTATACTGAACTCTATTTCCTTACATACCCTCCTGTCCCCACCTCTATCCTGTTCACAGACATGTTTATTCTCAGTTATTTAGATAAATCATTACGGTAAAAGTTAAAAGCATAATTTAAGAGAGAAAGAAAATGTAGCTTCAAATTAACTGCTGGAGGTGGAGATGTGTGCTATGGACAAGGTGGAGCCACAACTTTAGAAGGAATACAGATTCAGGGTGTGGTGGAGCAGGGTGTGGCCTCTTTATAATGCAGACAGGGTGGAATGCAGACTCCAGGCTTTGCTGGGGATGGGGGAATTAGGCCTCCATTCAGAGTGCACCCATTCCAGGATTCTGGATCTAGGATAGATGTGGAAAAATAGTTTCCGACTCTGCTAAGATGAATGCTAGTTTAAGTTCATCTCAGTAATTGAAGACAATAAATGAGATTTATATTTGTTTCACCTACCATACTTTTACTATTGTGGCTAGAGAGGTCACAGATCATAAGGGAATAAATGAAGTTTGTATGCTCTAGGATTGTTTTGAAAGAAAGACCTAAATAAATCATCGATTTCACTAGTATTTTTTGCTCTCCCATTTTTATAGTATAAAACAGGGTCTCGTTAATATAACTTTTATTTTTCCTGATCTTATTATGCAGGAGGAGAGGAATGGGAAACCAGATTATTTGATTTCTGCATCTGAACTAGGGAAGAAGACAACTCATTAGTAAATCTAGTAGTTACTTTGCCACAGAATTTTAATCCAGTTTTTTTAAGTTATTACAATTATTGTGGACTGTACTGCATGTCGAGGCTAATTGGAAACAGTGACCAGATTCTTAATCATTATCAGGAAACTGCATTCAGAGAATGAGAAGAACACCCCCACTGGATGAATTGCAGCCACCACCATATCAGGATGACAGTGGTTCTCCCCATCTCTCATGTACACCCTCAGAAATTGGGGACAGTAAATGTGAATTTTCCCACTGCAGCAACAGTCCAAGATGCTCATATAACAAGTGTCCAAGTGAAGGAAGCACAGGTCATGAAATAGAAAGTTTTCATAATAAAGGATATGAAGAAGATGTTCCAAGTGACAGCACTGCAGTCCTGAGCCCTGAAGTAAGTAAAAGCACATAGAACTTTTAAAATGAATGTTATTTGGAAGATAATAATAACCCTGTGCTTATCCTCTTGGTCAGAAGGTTTTATCACTATCTTGTCCTTTATGGCTTATGGTACCAGTTTCTATTTTTATCCAGCAGATGTTTCAGGGCTGTCCCAACCATCCTTCAACTCCCTTTCAAAAGAGGACAGGTAGATAAAAATGAGAGCAATATGCAAGATATTGAGAAGTATCTTGCCTCAGGGTTCAACCTCAGTAGGGGTTTAAAAAATTTTTTTTTAACATTTTACATAAAACATTCTGGAATTACCCATTTCTTTTATCTTAAGGTTCCTACTTATGCTTGTGTTTATTTTTTAAATGATTTTATTTGGATATTTTTACTATTGGAAGGTGGCCCTTTAATGTTTTACAAGCCTTTCAGAATAATATCTGCATTTCCATACCATGGAATATGGAAGTTATGGATAAGTGATGCTCAGCTTTACTAATGAAATTTGAATTCATGGCATCATGCATTCAGAGAGGTTGGTTGGTTGTGTTTTAAGTTATTTCCTTTTTTTGGAGCAAAAAATGTGAAAACAACAACAAAAATAGGTGTGTTATACTTTTGAAGTCTTTCCATGTTCTAAAAGGGATTTGTTTTAATCTTTCAATGATGTTAAAAACTATAAAGGTAATCTAGAGGTTTTCATTAGGCAGTATTTACTTTTAGGTTTCCTTTTTTTTCTAGATGGCAAGTTTTTACAACTTTTGTCCCAGACACCATTTCATGATACTGCAGTGTGTCAGTGTTCTTACTAGGTGAATTTTTATCTACTGCCAAAATTAAATAATGAAAGTACAGCTCTGAATAGAATTTCCTCAAAGTTTTTCTTATATAATTTCTAGGAACACTTTTTATCTGTTACTACTCTTCTATTTCTAATATTATTATATAGTATCTAACTTATCTAACTTAGAAGGAAATTCTGCATTGGTATTATAAATTTAACATAGTAGTATTTCATCATTTTCCACAAAGAATATTTCTCCATGTTTTGTACCTGAGCAAATTTGAGATAACTATTTTATAGATTTGCAAACTATATAGATAGCCAGCACATAAACAGTGAAACCTGGATTGTGGAACTAACAACAACAATAATAGCTATCACCAGTTGTGCCAAGAACTTTTCTGTAAGCTTTACATAGCTCATTTAACTCTAACAACCTCATCTTCAGAAAGTTATTTCCATTTTAGAAATGAAAACATTAAGACTCAGAGAATTAAGCAAGTTGCCCGGGTATAAGTAGCTCTTAAACAGTAGAACTGTAATTCAAAGCCAGGTCTGCCTGACTGCAAAAACAGTGGTCTTAACAACTATGCTCTGTTGCCCCTCTTGACATGAATCACTGTGTGAGAAATTACTTTGAAGCATTGGTACCCTCCAAGTACACCACCAGGCAAGCTATCCCAGAGGACTCACAGACCAAATTAAGATGCTCAGGTTACACTTGTGTGTGTGTGTGCATGCATGTGTGTATGTGTGTTTTAAGCTATTTCAAATATAAAGCAAGAAGGAAGAGGAGCAAGATAAGGTAGGAGAACACACTTAGGATAGGATGCCCTTAGGTACAGGTGGCGAGACAACAAACACCGTGAATCCTGGTTTATATAATGTCCTTATGTTCAGTCTTACTCTTTCTGCTCCATCAGCATTCCCTAATTACAGCACGGTAACAAGGACAAAAGTTGAGATTTGAACAAGGGTGCCAGGGGCCAAAAACACATACTTGTTTTATGGGAGAGATGCAGGGGCAAGTACTCCTGGCCACAAGTGAAACTTGCAGTTCGTCTACTAAATAGACATAGATTTTATCTGCATTTCTTAAATAGAACACGTGGGTGACAGAGCTGTCAGCCCAGAGGTGACATGATCATAGCTTGGCCTTTCCATCCCTTTCCATAGGTAATAGTCGTTTGTTCTATCTTATTTTCTGTTTATTCTGTCTTTGACATATCTTAACAAGTTATTAACTTAGTTATTATATATATTTACCACATCTTCTGAATTCTGCCTGTGTCTCTCAAGTTACTTCCTTATTATCTGTAGTTAACAGAACCTGTGAGTTTTGCCCATATTTCAGAAGCTTGATGTGTTAACACTTCTTATTGAGTCTCCTCCATCCTGCTTGTTTTTGTGTCTTCTACAGCGAAACTGAATATGTTCAAACTACAGCAAATGCATGTCACATAAATATTTAGGTGCTGATAACCTGTGTTAGTGTAAAACTCATTCTTGTGTTTTTTCAAGTTTACTTTGCTTCCTACCATTCCTTTAATAGATATTATTTATCAAATAGAAAATTCATACCTTCCTATTGGTTTAATCCAGGATCCAGCTATTTTAGAGCCTATCTTCCTACACAGTTGAACTGGGAGAGGAGTGAGGAGGGTTCAGAAGGATTCCCCGGCAAGGAGTTCATTAACTGTATTGATGACCTGTTGCTGGCTAAAGATTATTGAAAACTTTGACTCAGAACCTTGAAAAGAGGGATTATTTTCTAATTACCTGTTTGTAGAATACAAATAGTAGCTTTTATCTGTAAAAGTCCCACCCTTTTAACCCTCAGTTTCACAAGGAATGCCCAGGAAAAAAAAAAATGCCCAGGAAAAAAAAAAAAAGGGAGGCACCAAGAGAAACAAAATTCAGAAATAGTTATCCGAGACCATATAAAAAATTTTATTGCCTTGAAAATTAGCTGTCATGACACTGTTTTAGAAAATATTTAATTGAAAAATAAATTAATGTAATTAATCATTTAATTAGCAATTATGAAGTGGCATGCATTAAAACATTTTGTTCTAAACTGTCAATTTAACAGAGTAAGAATATTTTTACCCTGATCTAATCGTATTGCATAAAAAACTGAATTATTCCATGAGAGTTTGTTCCTACTCCTAAAGTATTCTTCTTCACTTGTCATCTTTTCTTCCATACACCATATACAAAATTGAGTCATCGTAGGTAGACATGTAAGATCTATGAGGTCAAAGACTTGTGTCTTTTTGGTTCTCTGCTGCATCCCCCACCCAAAATATGTCCTGGCACATAGTAGGTGCAATAGTTAGGCACATGTTAAGCTGCTGTAACAAGGAGACAAGTACAATGGCAAATACAGATACAAAACCACAGAAGATTGATTGTCTTTCACTTAACAATACTCCTGGGTGAGTAGGTGACTTGCTCTACAACATCATCCAGGGGCCCGGTTCCTGCTTTTTAGTCACTCTTCTGTCCCCTAGGGTGTTGTCCTAATCCACACGGTCCAAGCTGACCCACACATCCTATCTGCGTATCTGCTTGTGGGAAGAGTGAGAGATAGAGAGCGAAGAGCACATAATTTTTTCTACAAACCCGATCTGGATGTTTCATACTGAACTCTGTTTCTCTCCCTTTGGCTAGAGCAGAGTTTCATTGCTATATCAGTTGTAAGGAAGACTTCAAAGTAAAGTTTCTTGCCAGACAATGTGTTTCTGGCTAAAACCCAGGTAGTTTCTTTGAGGCATGCGAAAAGGGAAGACCAAGAGTCAGTAGTAGTGCCTACTACAGTACGCATTAAATAAAAGTTCAGAAAAATTCAGAAAATTATAAAATTGGCCCACATTTTAAAATGAAAAACACTTAATATTTATTAAAATATTTGAAGGGGTGAGGTGGTATAGCTGAAAAGTCAGAGACCTGAACTTGGCACTGTTAGTCACTAGCTGAAACTCCTGTTACATTCCAGATAGTTAGACTAGCAGGAACTTTAGACAGTTCCAGGCAAAAGAGATACAGTTTCTTTTAATCTTACAATTAAAATATATAGTTTCATGCTTTCTTGAACTTTTGGAATATGTATTCTGCCATTTTCAACAGTAATTAGCGTTAGAAAATAATACGTAGTTTTAAATTCTGGTTAAAAATTGAAGTAGTGTGTGTGTGTGTTATGGAAAATAAATATTTGGCTGCAAGTATTTTGAGGCCCTTGTGTTTATACTTTCATATTTCACACTTCCATTGATTTTCAAGCCTAAATGTGTTAACATCCTATTACAGATGGGGGCATTTGAAACAAATCTGAAAATGGTACCAAATTTTTCAGTAGCATTATACTTTCATTTATGTTCTCTTTCTCTCCAGCCTAATATTGAGCTGTCAGTTGTTTTGTTTATAATGTTACAAATTTAGTAATTTTTTTTTGCAAAAGGAGCAGAAATATACATGGAAGTATATATTTTCGTTTCTCATGATAAAAACGTATATCCAACTTTCTCAAAATTGTGATGGTGGATATTAAATTCTATGTCTTTATTATAATAAGTTTTTGAGTTTAACTTACCACTTACATTACTTTGTCCCCATAGAGTATCTTTTGATTGTAGTTGGCTGTTAATCATTATTACTTTCTTTATGATAGCAAATAAAAACAGTTTTCATATCATCCTTCTAAAGAAATATCAGATACTTATTTACATGCTAGATTAAATAATAGAGTTAAAAATTGAAAACATTTAAATTTGCTTTTCTTAGGATATGTCAGCTCAAGGATCATCTTCACAGCTTCCTAAACCTTTTGATCCTGAGCCAGAAGCTAAATATGGCACACTGGATGTGACTTTTGACTATGACTCACAAGAACAGAAGCTTCTGGTAACAGTGACAGCTGTCACAGATATCCCAACATATAACAGGACAGGTGGCAACTCATGGCAAGTACACCTTGTTCTTCTACCTATAAAGAAACAGAGAGCAAAAACCAGCATCCAAAGAGGACCATGCCCTGTCTTCACAGAAACATTCAAATTTAATCATGTTGAATCTGAGATGATTGGAAATTATGCAGTTCGGTTTAGACTGTATGGTATACATCGCATGAAAAAAGAAAAGATTGTGGGGGAAAAGATTTTTTATTTAACAAAACTGAATCTTCAAGGGAAAATGTCATTACCTGTGATATTGGAACCTTCTTACAATCATTCTGTGAGTATCTGATCAAATAGCCCAAATACAGTTTATGTCATGGTATATAATATACACAATTTTTAAAATCTATGATCAACCCAACAACTTTCTCAGCCTATTTTTTACATAGTAATCATACCTACAAAATTTCTAAGTCCTAAATAGGTAGGTATAACTTTCTGTCATCCGTAAAAGTAGCCCTTGAAGATTATGTATGATTTATTTTATGTATTTTATTTTATCTTCACAGAGTCTGGCCTGATGTCTTACATATTTATTCCTTTGTTAAACATTTATTACAGGATTGCTTATGACATCATCTGAACTCCTTATAGAATTTATTGTTTTCTTTCCAGGTTAAAACTAGGTGATACTTTAACAGCTATCTAGCCCATATCTTATTTGATATACTGCAGAAATTATTTGCTTTTATAGAATTTGTGCTGCTGCCTAGGTCATAACTGATTATCCTTCCAGAACTGCTATGAAATTATTTTTAAAGCTTCAAAAAGAGCTCTGCCCTTGTTATACTTTCCACTTTTTTTTCTTTTAAACAAAGATTTTGCAGTGTTTCTGAGAGAATACTTCCATTTAGTACTATGAGCTATTCTCCCTTTTCTCTTTTTTCCTCCAGGTACTGATCACACCCAAGTGTCTCTCCCTCACTGTCTGTCTGTCATCTCTCTCTCCATATTTTTAACTAAAGTCCTGCAAGGCATTGCAAATCGCAGGAGAGTTGCACTGTTTATTTAAACCAGGGAGATACACTATGCCATATAGTTATTTAGATTTTGAGAGAATCTGTGATATGCTGGAAATATAAATTTTGAATTATATTTATTCCTCTCATAATTGAATAAGAAGCATTTTTACACGTAAATATACAGATTTGGAGTAGACTTACATATTAACATAAAGGTATAATATTTTAGAGTTGTTTTTAAGCCTTTAAATGTATTAAGCACAAGTGCAAGGTTAGAGTCTCACTGAATTTATGCCAGGCAGCATTCGATCTTATAGGACCTTCATTCCCAATAGAGCCATACCATTTTAGCTAGATGATTGCAGCATCTTTAAAAACCAAAAGGTGATAATAAATATAGTACATCCCTATGGGTTTTTAATATAATGTTTATCCTTTATTGGGTAAATTGATAACTTGTTTTAATTTTACATTTTAGAATTACTGTTTGGGGAAAATGTCTTTTTTAAATGATATCAGCAGTTTATCAGAGGAGAGGCAAAAAAAGTGCAAGCAGTGTTTCAGAGGGAAGAAGATAACTTTTAATAAAATTGAATATTCTATAATTCTTGCTATGATTTTTAAACTTTCTCATTATTTGGTTTGAGTGATCACTAGTTAATCTGTGGAAAATGCATCCTTATATATAGAAATACCTGATTTATATTAGAAGAGAATGACTGTATCATCAAGAGGTATGTATTTTGTGTTTCTTTATTTGCTCTGAGTTATCTGTTCCCAATTCTGTATTAATTATCTTCTTTTCACAAAGAAAATGAAGCCATACAAAATAATATGGTTTTTTCCTCCGGTCAAACTAAATGATTTCTATCTACACCTACATCACATGTGTTGGCTTATGGGGTTTTTTTTCGTTTTTTTTTAACATCTTTATTGGAGTATAATTGCTTTACAATGGTGTGTTAGTTTCTGCTTTATAACAGAGTGAATCAGCTATACATATACCCCCTTATCCCCTCCCTCTTGCATCTCCCTCCCACCCTCCCTATCCCACCCCTCTAGGTGGTCACAAAGCACCGAGCTGATCTCCCTGTGCTATGCAGCTGCTTCCCACTAGCTATCTGTTTTACATT